AAAGGTGCGTGCAAGTATAATTCATGGCTTTCCCCTCAAGAATACTCCCAAGCTAGAGCCTTTTGCCTTCTTGTTGCTTGTGTGCTTTTTGAAGGGAAGTTATGTGAATTATATACACTGTTACCCTACATGACTGATGTTATATACCTGTATTTGTACTCAGGTATGCAACTTTGGGGCAAGGTGCATTGGAAGAGTGTAATTCAAAGGCTTCAGGAACATAACACTTTGTGAAATGAAGTTTACTGATCAACATTTGTCTTGTTTAAATCGGGACCTGGGAACCAATGACCAATTTCAGCATGATGTTTGGGTAGTCCTTTGGATCCTGGCCTTAACTAGCTATTTTGTTCCTTCATTGAAGGCTTTGTGACTCTTCTCCAGCCCCTGCAGAAACACACAACTAGAGTGGTTATTTTTAAGCAGGAACAAATCAGTTCAGCAATCTCCCCATTCAATACTGTATGTGAGAACGGGATATTGCGGTTCTAGCATGGGATCAGAGCTAGCACAAGGACAGAATCTGAAGCTCGATCCATACAAGATGGAGCACTGATAGTGGGTGGTTCAGTGGTTTGGGAAAATGATGTTCAGTCTCTTGTAGAGATGGATCAAGTTCAAGTTGGAAGTTATAGCTAGCCTTGTACAGTGGTACCTCGGGTTAAGTACTTAATTCGTTCTGGAGGTCTGTTCTTAACCTGAAACTGTTCTTAACCTGAAGCACTACTTTAGCTAATGGGGCCTCCTGCTGCTGCTGCGTCACCGGAGCATGATTTCTGTTCTCATCCTGAAGCAAAGTTCTTAACCTGAAGCACTATTTCTGGGTTAGCGGAGTCTGTAACCTGAAGCTTATGTAACCTGAAGCATATGTAACCTGAGGTACCACTGTATTTGAATGCCCAGGTGGCATGTCTGTGGCACAAAGCTCTATCCACCAGTTATGACCCTGTAGATGGAGGTGGCCAAACAGTGTGCATGCTCTGGTCGCATCCAGCCTGGACTTCTGCAGTTGTGTGTGGTGCTGACCCTGAAGATTTCTCAGCAACTCCTATTCCTCAGAAATGCTTCTGTTACATTGCTGACTGGCGCAAATAATAAGTAACATATATTCCCAGCATGTTAAACATGCCTGCCAGCTGGTGCTTACCTTGAAACTATATAATTTGGAACCTGGGTATTGGAAAGTAGGTTCCTATGACCTGCCTGTATACCGAGGTTGGATGGATGTCTCTGCTCTCAGAGGTTTGATAGCTGGTGACAGGCAGCTTGTCTGGTGTCTCTGATGCTTTTCTTTTCGGTGCCAGTCAAAGTCATTTATCTTCCCAGGCTTTTTAAAATGTTGGTTGAACTGATTTCAAGTCTGCTTCTGTCTCTGTCTGTTTTTCTGTTTTAATTTGTCATTGAAATGTTGGCTTTTATTATTTGCCTTAAAAGAAGACCTGTAAGCTGATGGGAGTGGTGATACTGGAGAGTGAGATACAAATTCCTAAATGAATAAGTAAATAGAATCCTAAGAAAAATTAACCCTTTAAAACCACCTGTAAAATCTCATCATGATTCAAGAATTGGTAAGTGTAATGTCTCATTGGGACATGGGGCTATTCTCGTTTTATAGCTGGCAGCACAGAGGCACAGAGAGTGAGAGATTGACAGATGTGTCCATGACCACAACCTCTGCAGACAAATTAGGAAAACCACACACGCATGCATTACGGGAGAGAAGATGAACAGATGTTCTGTACATCCTGATGAATGGACATTTTCACTATAGTTTATATAGTAAACTGCCACACAAGGTTAGTACCAGCAGGTTGAACCGTTTACAGACCCCTGTGTGACTTCCATTTTATATGCCACTAAGAAGAGTCAGAATATACAGTGGTATCTCGGTTTTCAAACGTAATCTGTTCCGGAAGACAATTTGAGTTCTGAAACGTTCGAAAACCGAAAACTCAACAGCTAACAGCTAGGCCTCAGCGGAAGCCATGTAGCTGGTTCGACTTCTGAGGCGTGTTCGAAAACCGAAGCATTTACTTCCGGGTTTATGGCGTTTGAAAATCAAAATGTTCGTCAACGGAGACATTCGAAAATCGAGATACCACTGCACCATGAAAAACAGAAGACCAATCAATGGAAGAGAAAAACATGGTCACAGAGATAGTGGAGGAGGGAACACAAAGGGAAAAATGGAAAAAAGCTTGGTTCTCAGTTCCTCAGATCCTTGGAAAAGTCTGAACCTTCCCTTACACTCCAAACATTCCTGTCAGTGCACATTGTAGTGGTCTGTTTTCAAAACTGGCCAAATCTAAAGATCATCTTCCCTTTGTGTTAACAGTTTAACATGGGAATCCTGGTTGCCCTCTGAACTCATGAGTGAGAAAGTCATCTGCATAACACATGCCAGCCATCTCATCTTGGCACATTCTGTTTGACTCTTTAATTTGGGAGACAAATGGCAAACACTTAAAAAATAGTATGGGAACTTGGCTCTCATAAATTGAATCCTTAGCAAATGTGCTCTGCCAAGGTATTCCCTTCCTCTAGGATGTGAATTCGCCTGCAACATTTTGAAACCAAATGTTTGGGGCCAGGTTTGACATTTGAGTTGATCTTTCTCCATCTTTTCTTGATTATGTGAGCGCCGCAGCTTTTATCATCTGAAAGCATAAGACATTAAGTTTCTTGCAGTAAACCTGCCCGTGGAAAGGGCCTTGTATGCTGCTAATAATTCCAATTTGTTTACATGAAGCTTTTATAATCTTAGGGGTTTTTTTCCAGCCGCAGCAGAATTCTCTCTCTCAGTCTTGAATGGCTTTTCGGAGTCTGTTTCTAATATATAGCATAAAGGTAAACGGTTATGTTGTTGGCCTTAATCTAGGTAATAAATTAATAAATCAAAATGTGCTGGGCTAGAAGGTTTTCCTTGGCTCCTTCATTGCTTGGGAGAGCCGAATGTACAAGAAACCTATTCACATGCTGACAAGTAGTAATGCTTGAAAGCACTCAGTTCAACTTGATCTGCTCATGGTATAGGATGACAACTGCTGAAATGAGATGGACAACAGACTCATGTGAGAAATGGCATGTTCATGCCAACCTGCATGTGATTCCACATTATGGACCCAATCTGGCCAGTATAAAGCATTTTTAATAAAGAGAATGCTTAAATAATGTGAAAAATAGCATGGTGAAATTTTGTTTCTTGAAACACGAGTGAGATTATATACCTCCTAAAATTGATTTGGCACTTCCAGTCATTAAATTCCAACATAAAGGCCTGGTTGGTTCAAACCTAACACTAAGCCAAGTGATGAGTTGGTTTAGATTCTGTGAGCATGTGGCAGGTGCACCCAGTGTGATTTTTGCTGGACTACAACTCCCATCAGGCTTAGTTAGCATGGCCTATGGTTGGGGATGATGGGAGTTGCTGTTCAACAAGATTTGGAAGGCCTAGCATTGACTACTGCTGGTGTGTGGCTTTCTGGAGAAGACATGGTGGCTCTTCCCTGCTCCTCCTGCAGTTGTGCTGCTGTGAGCTGAGCTATAGTTTGTCTTAGCATGGCATCCAAAACCAATATTCATTCATTCATTCATTCATGTCTCTTCCACAAGCCATTAACCCAAGAATGAAACTTGGTTGCACAAACCACAAGGATAAATGGTTCTCTGTGTTGCCCCATTATTCCCAAACAACAAGACACAGATTGGGAAGTAACTTTTTTAAAAAAAACAAAACTGCATTGTTTTGTCCAGTTTATTTATTTATTTAATTATATTTGTATACGACTTTTCACCCATAGATCTCAGCATGGTTCACAACATAAAAATACAAAATTAACAAAACAAAACATAAAACACTGTTGTATTTCTGTTGCATTGCCATATTGGTCATGGGCTATGACATAAATATACCGTTATGAAATGGAAATACACAAACTAAACTGCTGCTGCACCAGGGGGGTTGAGGAAGGCCGCTCCCTCCTCAGGCTGATTCCACCTGGCCCAGGGGGCGGGGCCCAGACTGACTCACCACCGCCACAGCTTAAGAGGCCTCATGAGGCACTGGGACACCGCTGCTGCTGCTGCACCAGGGGGGTTGAGGAAGGCCGCTCCTCCTCAGGCTGATTCCACCTGGCCCAGGGGGCGGGGCCCAGACTGACTCACCACCGCCACAGCTTAAGAGGCCTCATGTGTCAGAGGGACACCGCTGCTGGAGCTGCACCAGGGGTGGTGAGGAAGGCCGCTCCCTTCTCAGGCTGATTCCACCTGGCCCAGGGGGCGGGGCCCAGACTGACTCACCACCGCCACAGCTTAAGAGGCCTCATGAGGCATTGGGACACCGCTGCTGCTGCTGCACCGGGGGGGGTTGAGGAAGGCCGCTCCCTTCTCAGGCTGATTCCACCTGGCCCAGGGGGCGGGGCCCAGACTGACTCACCACCGCCACAGCTTAAGAGGCCTCATGAGGCACTGGGACACCGCTGCTGCTGCTGCACCGGGGGCTGAGGAAGGCCGCTCCTTCTCAGGCTGATTCCACCTGGCCCAGGGGGCGGGGCCCAGACTGACTCACCACCGCCACAGCTTAAGAGGCCTCATGAGGCACTGGGACACCGCTGCTGCTGCTGCACCAGGGGGGTTGAGGAAGGCCGCTCCCTCCTCAGGCTGATTCCACCTGGCCCAGGGGGCGGGGCCCAGACTGACTCACCACCGCCACAGCTTAAGAGGCCTCATGAGGCACTGGGACACCGCTGCTGCTGCTGCACCGGGGGGTTGAGGAAGGCCGCTCCCTCCTCAGGCTGATTCCACCTGGCCCAGGGGGCGGGGCCCAGACTGACTCACCACCGCCACAGCTTAAGAGGCCTCATGAGGCACTGGGACACCGCTGCTGCTGCTGCACCGGGGGGGTTGAGGAAGGCCGCTCCCTTCTCAGGCTGATTCCACCTGGCCCAGGGGGCGGGGCCCAGACTGACTCACCACCGCCACAGCTTAAGAGGCCTCATGAGGCACTGGGACACCGCTGCTGCTGCTGCACCGGGGGGGTTGAGGAAGGCCGCTCCCTCCTCAGGCTGATTCCACCTGGCCCAGGGGGCGGGGCCCAGACTGACTCACCACCGCCACAGCTTAAGAGGCCTCATGAGGCACTGGGACACCGCTGCTGCTGCTGCACCGTAGGTGTTGAGGAAGGCCGCTCCCTCCTCAGGCTGATTCCACCTGGCCCAGGGGGCGGGGCCCAGACTGACTCACCACCGCCACAGCTTAAGAGGCCTCATGAGGCACTGGGACACCGCTGCTGCTGCTGCACCAGGGGGGTTGAGGAAGGCCGCTCCCTCCTCAGGCTGATTCCACCTGGCCCAGGGGGCGGGGCCCAGACTGACTCACCACCGCCACAGCTTAAGAGGCCTCATGAGGCACTGGGACACCGCTGCTGCTGCTGCACCGGGGGTTGAGGAAGGCCGCTCCCTCCTCAGGCTGATTCCACCTGGCCCAGGGGGCGGGGCCCAGACTGACTCACCACCGCCACAGCTTAAGAGGCCTCATGAGGCACTGGGACACCGCTGCTGCTGCTGCACCGGGGGTTGAGGAAGGCCGCTCCTCCTCAGGCTGATTCCACCTGGCCCAGGGGGCGGGGCCCAGACTGACTCACCACCGCCACAGCTTAAGAGGCCTCATGAGGCACTGGGACACCGCTGCTGCTGCTGCACCGGGGGTTGAGGAAGGCCGCTCCCTCCTCAGGCTGATTCCACCTGGCCCAGGGGGCGGGGCCCAGACTGACTCACCACCGCCACAGCTTAAGAGGCCTCATGAGGCACTGGGACACCGCTGCTGCTGCTGCACCAGGGGGGTTGAGGAAGGCCGCTCCCTTCTCAGGCTGATTCCACCTGGCCCAGGGGGCGGGGCCCAGACTGACTCACCACCGCCACAGCTTAAGAGGCCTCATGAGGCACTGGGACACCGCTGCTGCTGCTGCACCGGGGGTTGAGGAAGGCCGCTCCCTCCTCAGGCTGATTCCACCTGGCCCAGGGGGCGGAGCCCAGACTGACTCACCACCGCCACAGCTTAAGAGGCCTCATGAGGCACTGGGACACCGCTGATGCTGCTGCTCTGTGTGTTGGGGAAGGCCGCTCCCTCCTCAGGCTGATTCCACCTGGCCCAGGGGGCGGGGCCCAGACTGACTCACCACCGCCACAGCTTAAGAGGCCTCATGAGGCACTGGGACACCGCTGATGCTGCTGCACCGTGGGGGTTGAGGAAGGCCGCTCCCTCCTCAGGCTGATTCCACCTGGCCCAGGGGGCGGGGCCCAGACTGACTCACCACCGCCACAGCTTAAGAGGCCTCATGAGGCACTGGGACACCCCTGCAGCTGCAGCACTGGGGGTTGAGGAAGGCCGCTCCCTTCTCAGGCTGATTCCACCTGGCCCAGGGGGCGGGGCCCAGACTGACTCACCACCGCCACAGCTTAAGAGGCCTCATGAGGCACTGGGACACCGCTGCTGCTGCTGCACCGGGGGGGTTGAGGAAGGCCGCTCCCTTCTCAGGCTGATTCCACCTGGCCCAGGGGGCGGGGCCCAGACTGACTCACCACCGCCACAGCTTAAGAGGCCTCATGAGGCACTGGGACACCGCTGCTGCTGCTGCACCAGGGGTTGAGGAAGGCCGCTCCTTCTCAGGCTGATTCCACCTGGCCCAGGGGGCGGGGCCCAGACTGACTCACCACCGCCACAGCTTAAGAGGCCTCATGAGGCACTGGGACACCGCTGCTGCTGCTGCACCATGGGGGGTTGAGGAAGGCCGCTCCCTTCTCAGGCTGATTCCACCTGGCCCAGGGGGCGGGGCCCAGACTGACTCACCACCGCCACAGCTTAAGAGGCCTCATGAGGCACTGGGACACCGCTGCTGCTGCTGCACCGGGGGGGTTGAGGAAGGCCGCTCCCTTCTCAGGCTGATTCCACCTGGCCCAGGGGGCGGGGCCCAGACTGACTCACCACCGCCACAGCTTAAGAGGCCTCATGAGGCACTGGGACACCGCTGCTGCTGCTGCACCGGGGGGGTTGAGGAAGGCCGCTCCCTCCTGTAGGCCCACTCCACCAGGCCTAGGGGGCGGGGCCCACACTCGCCACTGCTACAGCTTTAAGGACACTGGTGTTGCTGCAGCAAATGTTAAAAATGTTTTATATATTCTAAAGGGTTTTAAAGGGGTTTTTACTTTTTACTTTGTTGTACCACCGTGAACGGTGGTTTGTATTGATGTATTTTTATTTTGTTCCATTTTATGTTGGTTTGGGGTTGGATAGTGAGTGGGGTGGGGATTTGTTTTGTTTTGGTACAATTGTTTTTGGTTTGCTTTGTTTTTCTATTTTGTAAATGGAGGTTGGTTTGAGGCTTGGGATTGCTACCGTAGTGGGGCGAGGGAGGTATGGCGGTGGGGGCAGATGTCATAGGCGAAGGGGATCGAGATACGGATATGCTCATACCCCTTCCAATCTGCGCCCCATCCCGAGGGACGAGGGTAGGGTGAGCAAGGATTACTCACCTCCGTCACTGGTGTTGTGCAATGCCAGGTCTATAGGCAACAAAACCGCCACCCTGCGAGACTTCTTCACCTCGCAGGGGGTTGACCTGGCTTGTGTGACAGAGACCTGGGTGCGCGAAGGAGAAACTGTTACCTTACGAGAGATGGCACCCCCGGGTTTCTCCGTCCTCCACCAGTCGCGGACTGTGGGCCGGGGGGGAGGGGTGGCATTATTAATCCGGGAAGATTGTTCTTTCAGGGCTCTACCATCGCCATCGATCCCCGGCATTGAATGTGTTGGCCTAGTGTGGGGCTCCGAGGTGAGTTTGGCTGTCTGGCTGATGTACCGGCCACCTAGCGCACCAGCAGCCACCCTGTCAGGCCTGCTGGAGGCGGTGGCCGGCTGAGCCTTGGAGTTCCCTAACCTATTGGTATTGGGGGACTTCAACATCCATGCTGATGCCACTCCCTCCTCACAGGCTCTGGACCTGGTGTCTTCCATGGCGACACTAGGGCTCTCCCAGTTTGTTTCGGGCCCCACACATCAAGCAGGCCACACGCTGGATTTGATCTTTGGCGCCGGTATAGATGTGATCATGTCTCCTTCGATGAAGGTGCCATGGTCTGATCACTACGCTCTGAAAGCCAGGATTGATTTTCCACCCCCACCCTGCTTAGGTGGCGAGCCAATTTGGGCTCGCCCGCAGAGGCTGATGGACCCTAATAGATTCCGTCAGGCCTTGCGGGACCTTGCTTTCCCTGGCGACTCATTGACTGAGCTTGTTGAGGGCTGGAATATCCAGCTCCTAGCAGCCATCGATGAGATCGCACCTAGGCGCCCTCTGCGACCCCGCAGAAACCGGGCTCCCTGGTTTACCGAGGAGCTTCGGAAAATGAAGCGGGACCTCAGACGGCTAGAGCGAGTATGGCGGGGTGCCCGTGACGGAGCCTCAAGAACATCTTATAGGGTTTTTATGAAAACCTACGAGATGGCAGTGAAGGCCGCTAAGAAGTCCTACTTCTCGGCCTCCATTGCCTCTGCTAGCTCTCGCCCGGCGCAATTATTTAGTATAATTAGGTCTTTAACGTCCCTTGAAGGACAGCCAAATTTAAATAACAATTTGACACACAGCTGTGAGGCATTTGCGAGCTTTTTTGCGGAGAAGGTCCTGTTGCTCCGCCATGACCTCCCTGCCAATTTGGATACAATAAAGGAACTGGAGGCCCCTCGACTGTCCTCGGGTCCAGTATTGGACCACTTTGACTGGATATCCCCAGCCGATGTGGACAGACTCCTCCAAGCTGGAAAGCCCACCATCTGTCCTCTTGACCCGTGCCCGTCTTGGCTGATTAGAGCGTGCCCAGACGAGGTGCGGGCCCCCCTGGGTGATATCATCAATTTGTCCCTTGGCACCGGGATATTCCCAGGGGAACTGAAGGAAGCAGTGGTGCGTCAAATCAGAAACTGGGATGGCTTTTCTAAATCAGGGACATCCCTGGAAAATAGGGACACTTGTGGAGTCTGCACTTAATGAATTCCTTGCATGGTAGAGACAAGATTTAACCATGGGGCCTCCTGCTTCTCTAGTCAGTTTCTTAGAGTACAGTTCACTGGGGCTTCTTCTCAGGTAATTCTTTAGGATCACAGTCTTAGGTACTATGTTGGAGCACCCAATAGTTAATACCACCTTGTATCTGTGTGAAATATACTCAGAGTCAACAGTGGATTTCATGCTCTTTATTCAGCTCATAGTGGTGAGGAGGAATGAAAGCTTCCCCAAAGTATCTGCTTTATATACCGTATATTATTTACACAATGGGCTGCACGTGATTGGCTAATTCCAGAATTCTCCTGTAGGCCAATCAGGTTGTAGATTCACTTCCATCTGGAGCTGGATTGGGTGGCTCCTGCAGACCAATCATATTGCTGCATTGTTCTAGGACCAATCAGACTGCTGCATTTTGGATCCTATTGTTCTAGGACCAATCAGACTGCTGCATTTTGGATCCTATTGTTCTAGGACCAATCAGACTGCTGCATTTTGCATCCTATTCAACTCAGTACATAACACCGTGTCTTCCGTTATTAGCTCAACGTCTGCTCCCACATGGAAAACTGTGTGTGGTTCCAATTTAGTAAACTTGTCCAAACAAATGCCCAAATCTGCAACATTGAAGCATGTGAGTTTCAAGCTAATGGTCACTAAAACCTAAACAGAGATTTTTCTCGTAGAATTTGAAACGAGTGTGTGTGTATGTATTTAATTCTGCCTTGGCACAGGGGTCTCGTGAATCCCAATAGCTGAGGAAGCCCTGACCCTGGATCAAGCAAACCCAGAGAATCTCACTTGTGGGAACCAGCGAACATTGTCTGGGATGTGCTGATTGCTAATTGCCAGCTTAATCCTTCCGCTGTGTCAAAGCTGGGGCACTGCCAACTGACACAGCACAGCTGAAAGAGCTGGTGTTGTGTTTAACTGGATTAATGATTGTACAATTACAAGTCTCCCTTAAATGCTCTTCTACAATTAGAGCTCATGATATCTTTGCAACCTGGCAGGCTTCTAAAAACATAATTACAGGCCACCAGCATTATTTGTATTTAACTTGAGGCTGCAAGAGGAGGGGAGGGGGGGAATTACTGGGAGCAGAAAGTTGCTGCATAGTTACAAGTTGCCGAATCGACCTTGGTCAAGGAAAGTGTCTGTCACAATTTAGTTTTTCCCTCATGCACTGGGTTTTCTTTGCTATTGGGGGCAGGGTTAGGAGGAAGACAGCAACATATCAAAGGCAACACAGAGGAGGAAAAAGAGGAGAGCTCAACATCAAAAAAATGAAGATAATGGCCACTGGTCCCATCACCTCCTTGCAAATAGAAGGGGAAGAAATGGAGGCAGTGACAGATTTTACTTTCTTGGGCTCCATGATCGCTGCAGATGGTGACAGCAGTCACGAAATTAAAAGACACCTGCTTCTTGAGAGAAAAGCAATGACAAACCTAGACAGCATCTTAAAAAGCAGAGACATCACCTTGCCAACAAAGGTCCGTATAGTTAAAGCTATGGTTTTCCCAGTAGTGATGTATGGAAGTGAGAGCTGGACCATAAAGAAGGCTGATCGCCGAAGAATTGATGCTTTTGAATTATGGTGCTGGAGGAGACTCTTGAGAGTCCCATGGACTGCAAGAAGATCAAACCTATCCATTCTGAAGGAAATCAGCCCTGAGTGCTCACTGAAAGGACAGATTGTGAAGCTGAGGCTCCAATACTTTGGCCACCTCATGAGAAGAGAAGACTCCCTGGAAAAGACCCTGATGTTGGGAAAGATGGAGGGCAGAAGGAGAAGGGGGCAACAGAGGATGAGATGGTTGGATAGTGTTTTCGAAGCTACCAGCATGAGTTTGAAGCTGAGACTCCGATACTAAACAACTAAACAACAACAATGTGATATCATATATTTTTCCTTCCAGTCACATGTATTATTTGAATACTGAAGGTCTGTCTTGCTGGGTACCTTAAAGCACTATATTGATCTCTGACAAAAAAGTTGGTCCTCCAAGTGTTAGATGCTTGTTCTATGTGGATGGACAATTGCTCCTTGCCTGTTGTATCTGTTTTTGTGACTTCTTAGGCCACAGAATCTTCTCCATGAACCCCTTTTTGTCTCACAGATCTGCAAGGTTGTTGTTGTTGTTTAGTCATTTAGTCGTGTCTGACTCTTCGTGACCCCATGGACCAGAGCACGCCAGGCACTCCTGTCTTCCACTGCCTCCCGCAGTTTGGTCAAACTCATGTTGGTAGCTTCGAGAACACTGTCCAACCATCTCGTCCTCTGTCATCCCCTTCTCCTTGTGAGATCTTTCCCAGCATCAGGGTCTTTTCCAGGGAGTCTTCTCTTCTCATGAGGTGGCCAAAGTATTGGAGCCTCAGCTTCAGGATCTGTCCTTCCAGTGAGCACTCAGGGCTGAGTTCCTTAAGAATAGATAGGTTTGTTCTTCTTGCAGTCCATGGGACTCTCAGGAGTCTCCTCCAGCACCATAGGAGACTCTTGAGAGTCCCATGGACTGCAAGGAGATCAAACCTATCCATTCTGCAAGGTTGCTACACCACAATTAATGCACACACCCTTTTGTACTTTTCAGAACACACACACACACACACACACACACGTCTGCTTAACCTGGTCACTTTCTTTCTTTCTCTTTGTGATGGGAAGCAGCCATAGTGTCTTGATTCAAAACATTCTCATGATCTGGATCAGTGCCTTGCAGTTTTGATTTATTTTTTATTCCCTCTTTTTGTCACTCACTGCATAATATTTAATTCCAGTGCTTTTTTTAAGCCGGAACTTGCTGGAACTCAGTTCCAGCACCTCTCAGGTGGGCGCAATTGCCATTCGAAGAGAACTAAGGAGGTGTTCACGGTGAGTTCCGGCAACTCTTTTTCTAGCAAAATAGCCCTGTTTAATTCTATCTAACATCCCTCGGCAAAAGCAAAATGCATAGTTATTGTTATAGCAAACTCTTTGTGCCAGGTCTTCCTCTGGGCAGCTTTATCATGTTCTGTTCTGTTCTGAAGCGCTCTCACTTCCCTTTTTGGTTTCCTCAGCCTCTGATTCATTTTAAAGTGGAATATTTTAAGCCTCTGAAAGCTAGCTCTTTCCTCTCACTACATAGTAAAATAGAGCTCTCATAGAAGTATGATTGTGTCACCAGCACTCAAAATAAAGCCTGATTGCATAGAGGGAAATTGTGAAACTCTGCTCTTAGCTGCTTTGTTTGAAAAGGCTCGGCAACATTAATTAGAGCTTCTCTGAGTCTTCTGTGCCTTTCAATTAGCTGTTTCGTATCAATGTGCAGCATTTTTGCGAAAGTGTTTTGAATACATTTATTGCATTTTGATTGCATTTACTGGGAACATTTCCTTTGCACCCAAGCTACTTTGAAAAGGTCTTCTCTTGTTTGCAGTGAGGAAATTATAGTGCGACATGCAGAATAATAAAAATAACTGGAAGTGGAATAGAGGGTGGAAACAATCAATGCTTGACATAGTTGAAGTTGCCACAGCTTATCAGCTTCTTTTGGGGGTTTGCAAGCACAAAGCCAATTGTTGCTATTGCTGTTGTAACAATAATTAAATTTATGTACTGCCCTTTGTCAAAACACTACAGGACAATTTACAACATAGAACACAAATGGCAATACATAGCATGGATATCTATACATCATCATCATCATCATCATCATTTTATCTATACCCTACCCATCTGACTGGGTTTCCCCAGCCACTCTGAGTGCCTTCCAGCAAAATATAACAAATAATAAAATGTCAAACATTAAACACTTCCCAATACAGGACTGCCTTCAGATGTCTTCTAAAAGTTGTGTAGTTCTTTATCTCCTTGAAATCTGATGGGAGGGCATTTCACAGGGAGGGAGCCACTGCCAAGAAGGCCCTATGTCTGCTTTCCTGTAACTTCACTTCCTGTAGTAAGGGAACAGCCAGAAGTCCCATGGAGAAGGACTTCAGTGTTCAGGCTGAGCAATGGGGGTAGAGACACTCCTTCATGTATACAGAGCTGAGGCCGTTTAGGGCTTTAAAGGTCAGTACCAACACTTTGAATTGTGCTCAGAAACATACTGAGATCCTGTGAAAATCCTTTAGGACCAGTGTTGTATGGTCCTAGTGGCCACTCTCAGTCACCACTCTAGCTGCCGCATAAAAGTCAAAACTGCTGCTGGATTTACGTATAAGCTAAACAAGCTATAGCTTAGGGCTCCACTCTCTTGGGGGCCCCCAAAAAATGTAAAGGAAAAAAACACCTGGATGTACATTTCCAAAATATAAGACAAAAAACAAATAAAATAAAACCTACATACAGTTAGAACTTAATAATTATTTCACTATTAATATACTTCTTAATTGTACTTCACTATTAATATACTTCTTCTTAATTGTATTTCAGTTCAACAATTACTTTGATAAAATACATATTTTGTTATGTGCAAATGGCTTTAGATACCTATTAGGTCCATAAATTACCATATAGCATATATTCAACACAAAAAACAGCAACAAATTGTTGTTGACAAAGGACAGCTGGACATATAAAGGGTCCCATTACCTTCAGAAGCTTAAGGCTTCATCAAACCTAAATCTGGCCTTGGTCAGAGCAGTTATATAAATATAATTTTAATACTAATAATAAGTACATAGCGAAATAATAAAAACTCCACTTCCCCTCCTCTCATTCACGGTCCTTTCCCCATCCATCTGCCATTTTCCTTGGAATTCAGCCATGATGTCCCCAGTCCGAAACACACCCTTTGGGTGAGTCAAGTCCAGTTTGCCTTTTTCTGCGCAGCGCCAGACAATTAACGCCGCCTCATGCTCAAAATTGCTCCCTTTCTATTCTCTTAATAATCTGGCTGTCGACACCTCTGTCGGTGCTGCCAAGATGTTTCTGCTGAAGGTCACTGTCAGAGACCACATAGACATCTCTAGGGAGCACCGCAAGGGTGGGGCTTGCTGATGAAAAGAGATATCAGAAGTACAGCTGTTCTTTGTCTCGTTTGTGGAAGAGGAAACTTATTCTCCACACTTTAGGGCCAACAGGCAGAGGGTGCGGCGGGGTTGGGGGGTTGCCTCGGGCACAGTTTTTTTGGGGGGATGCATTCTTCAGGACACCTTGCCAGCCCACAAGACTGGCAGGGCATTGTGAGCTGTTGCGTCTTTCTCATGCTGCCCTCAAGGTGGCCGGTGGCTTGAGAAGAATGCAGCAGGCATGCACCCTGCCAGTAAAACCCAGTAAAATAAACAACTCCACATACTGCATGAAAGAGATTCTGCTGTGGTTCAGGAGAACTAAATCTTCCTTGGTAATTGGCTAGTGAGTTGCATTTGTCTTTCTGGCTTAGACACTGAGCAGGGCTGCCCTAATTCAAATAAATGAATAATTCACATTTCTGCCTCACAGATATGAACGTACACATGTGTGCTTGTGTATACATAAGCATGCATAATCTCTCTGGCATTATATTATGCATACTAGTAATTTCTAGCACGATCTGCTTTTCACATAATCCTGCTAATCAAATTGGGCAGATGCTTATGCGGCATCTAGATGAGCAGGAAGTTAGCACATCAAATGTAATTCAGTGTGAATAAAACGGGGGGAAATGATTTTTTAGCATGATGCAGACGTCCAGAGAACACTGGCCAGCCTTAAGGTGTAGCTGTGGAAAAAACCTGAAATCAAAATGTAAACTTGAAATCATCTTACATGGTCTGCAACCCAAAGGCCACTTACTAGGGAATTGTTTTCTTCAACTTCAGTTGGACTTCCTTTTGAATAAATATACTTAGGGAACATACAGTCAGTTCCACAAATGGTGAAGCCAGTGACCCCAAAACAGCAATTCGCTTTCATTTAGAAAGTGTGTCTTTATTAATTGTCATCAGGAGATTGGGAATGATGTGCCGGAAATATGAATGACATTTACCTCTATCTCTCTCTTCCATCTGAATTGGGAGAAGCAGTTGAGGTACCAGAACAGTACTTGGAGATGGGCCTGTAAATTGAAACCTGAAAAGACAAAGGAGTTTTGTATTCCCAGTTCTTGAGTCTGGGAAGTGGGAAGATGGCCTGGTCTTTATTGGGGTGAACTCCCTGGGGAGGGACAGGTTTATAGCTTGGGAGGCAGTGTGGGGTTTGTACATTGTCACTGGAAGATCGGGTGTCAGGGACTGGCCAGAGGAGGAATGGTGGAGACAGCTTCCCCAGCCTGACCCTTCCAAAGAAGAAGGAGACAGTT